TCCGGCACACATAAAAGGAAAGGAGAAGTTCTAGTATGCACCGTGTCTGTAGCATCATGTCAAATATCGCGGTTATCATGATAATTTAGCTCGGTTTACAAACCCACGAGTTGGATCGGTCAACACATGAACACGAGACACACTCACCTAGCTCCTTTGGGTTCCTGTACTGATATTCCTCGCAATATCCTACTGCGCTCGTAGTCGCAAGCGTGTCAGACCGTGGACGCGTGACCAAAGCCCCACCGCCAACTTTCCGGAGCCGAGCTATATGCGAGACCATTCTGCTTGGCTTTGACCATAGCTTTCTCTCTAGTAAGTTGTTTCATTGGGCTTTGATGGTGAACGATGGGCAATGTTGACACAATGTCCCGATATAGCGTTAGGCCGGTATCAGACTCGGTCTAAATAAACTCGCCTTCTCATGTCCCCGCCCATTCAAAGCTTCATTACCAGTATCCCGTCACTCTTCTACGACTTCGTATCCACGAGACTGACGATCCTTCCTCACGATCACTATCACCCAATCGGCGGCCCAAAGTCCTCTGCTTACTTCTAGACTAAATGGCATGACGTGTGCACCGTCTCTCCAAGAGATAGCTACTATCAACAAGATGCGATGGATAATTGGTAATGCATGATTGAGGCTAGGCTGCTCCCTATTTCAGGATCAATCAGGGAGTAGTCCAATACTTTCAACTCGGGATGACCGAATTTAACCTCTTAACCTTATAATAGTTCCTCTATGAAGTCCCATGATGCATATTTGCAACGTGCCCTTACCAATATCTTGCTTAAAGCACACAGCCACGATATCTTCCGCCGGTTCTGGATTTGGTCTCCACCGAACTTCGTCCAAATAATGCCTATTGGACCGGGACAGTATCAGGCGATCCTGAAGAATATGTGCTATTCCTCGTAGCTTTTAACGGTCGTTTAGGGTACGTGATCTTGGATCAAAGCTTACCGGATGCTGTGGTCAAGCGCACTCTCAACAATGTGGCCTATTCTCACCCAATTTATCACAACAGCTTTCTCAACATCTCATTCTTAGCGGAATGGTAAAAGATGGTTCAAGTCAGTCTCGATGTCATGCCCTCCCAGCTCCTTCAAGTGGCATCCCACCGCCCATCTCTAGTTTGCTATGTGAATGGAGCACTTTATATAACACAAAAATTCTCGTCATGAATGGATTTCCGCCCTGAACGAGATAGATGAAACAGACAGCTGATTGGGACGCTCAGGATAGGAGCGAAATACATGACATGGTAAACCCTCAATGAAAGCTGCGGACTGCTTAGAGAGTTTGGCCCCCGTGTCGGTCGGCTTCACCCGTTCGCAACTTTCCTGAGCCATTATACGTTGGCGACACTCAAGGTGGTACTTCATAGACTTGGAAGGATCTATGAATGACCTTCACTAGTGGAGATAGATAGTATACAATGCAGAATTCGTTCGCTCCAGACCGTCGAACGCTGAATATTAATATCCAGTCGTCTGGTTATTTCGTCCTAAACCCACTTGTGTCCCATATACTTGTTAGATCTAGATATCCTACCGAGGACTCTCTGTCCGTAAAGATAGATGGTCGTTGAGGAGAGTGGACTTTGTGGCCATATGCCCATCTGCACCGGGGCTTCTCCAGGGACGGGTGTGTTCGGCAGTTAGCTTTTAGACCTGACCACCAACTTGTTCTACTCTCTGTCATGGTTCGCCTCATTCCTTATGGCTTAGCTCTGCTAGGTATAAACTCTCGTCTGGGTCTGGCAACAGCGAGACAATTCTTTTTCAACCCGCCTCCCGGATATGGAGCCTCAACAAGCTCGTCGTCTGCCTCCTCCGAAGGGAATGACCAGTTCCTGCTCAATGGATATCAACATCCAATGAGTAACTCCTACAAGAATATGCCATATCAAGAGCCGTACGTTTGGAGCGCGCCGAACGAAGAAGACGTACCAGAACTCGACGCGCTGTCGACAGAGCATTTTACGCGTGTTGGGCATCCTCTATTTCCCCACCATTCCGTTAGGATCAAAAAGTCAAAGGGGTGGTGTGATCCAAACGCCAAGTAAGCGTGTTTCTTGTAGTGATCCCCCTGTATCTGTAGAGCGACAATATCGCAGAACCATGGGTACCAACGTTGTTAACTAACCACCCTATTTCTAGTTCGTACACCGGATACATAGATATTGGTGCCAAGCATCTTTTCTTTTATTTTTTCGAGTCACGCAATCCCTCATCGGATCTTGTTCTTTGGACGAATGGTGGCCCAGGGTGCTCCTCTTCTCTCGGTCTATTCATGGAACTCGGACCATGTGCTATCCTATCCAAGGAAGATATGGAAGCTCCTAAATATAACCCGTACTCATGGAACAACAACGCCTCTGTCATCTTCATTGACCAACCTATCGGCGTGGGCTTTTCGTATGCCGACTATGGGGAACACGTTGGACGTACGGAAGATGCAGCAAAAGATGTGGCTGCTTTCGTTGCAATCTTTATGGAGAGATTTGTGAACAAGAGAAAAGGAGCTGAGAACGTCAAGTTCCACTTGGCGGGTGAGAGTTACGGCGGAAGATATATCCCAGTATTCGCAGGAGAGATCGTCGACCTTAATACTCAACTCAGGGCTCACGGATTGACACCCGTTCCTCTCAAGTCTGTCATGATTGGCAATGGAATCACTGACCTCATCACGTGTGTCTTTTATCAACAGTACAAATTACGTTACTAAGCTTTTATTCGTAGGATGACAACGAGCTATTACGATATGCAGTGCACCAATGCATCTGTAGAACCTTTCCTACCAGTTTCGACTTGTGCTCGGATGCGTCGTGCGGTGAGTTCTATCGTGTTCGGCAATGACACCCACTGTTTCTGATACGCATACAAACAACCAGATCCCAAGGTGTGAGACGGCTTTACAAGCCGAGTGTGTAGACCGCTTCGACACCATGAGCTGTACGGCAGCAGCAGCAACATGTGGTGCAGAGTTCTTCCAACCATTCTGGACGTCTGGCCTCAACCCATATGATATCTCGAAAGTATGCGAGGGTCCAATCGAAGAAACGCTCTGTTATCCTGTTACAAAGTATATCGCTAGCTACCTTAACAAACCGGAAACAAGGGAGGCTCTTGGGGTCAGCTCCAAGGTCGATGTCTTCACTGGTTGCAGTGACGCTGTCCATGCGGATTTCGCAACTCATGCTGATGAGATGAGAATGACGACACCATATGTCGAAGGCCTATTGGAGCGAGGTGTCAAGGTGTTGATCTACGTAGGAACATACGACTGGATCTGGTGAGTTGATCGTGATCACTTCACCTGCAGCATACTCTGGCTCTTTAGCTCCATTTTTTCTGCTCATCTAACATTCTCCACAGTAACCACGTTGGAAACTACCGCTGGACATCGGCTCTCCAATGGACTGGACACAAGGATTTCAATGCCAAGGAACTGAGAGAGTGGAAGGTGGATGGAAAGGTTGCAGGAATGACGAGAAGCGCGCAGGGTCTGACTTTTGCTACCGTGTTTGGTGCAGGACACATGGTACGTGTGGTTTGTAGTTATCTAGAACTCACGCTAAAACCTGTTGATATCTAGGTACCGTACGATAAACCTAAGGAGGCTTTGACGATGCTCAGTAGATGGCTATCTGGTCAAGATTTGTAAGGCTATACAGTCTGCGTAGTGCGCCTTTACAGCCACATATAACTTTGGCTCAATATTTACCGTATATAAACCAATGGAATTATTACTAGATTAACGACGTATTCTATCCAAGATGAACGGAAGCCTTAGGAGCGCTGAGGTTTTGTAGGTAATTCTACCCAAATGTTCAGTCACAACATAGATTTGTGGGGGAAATGAACTCACGGTGACCCATTGATGCCTTTGCTCTGGCATATAATCGAATACAATGTATCGCTTATCACCCTTTAGCACTCTTTCCACCTCCTTTACATCCACAGCCTTTGCAAGTGACTGTAGGTCGGCTCTACCTCCACCCCCTTCTCCTTCCCCAGGGTCTTCTTCAGTAGGAACTGCTGCTGCGCCGCTAGGTCCCTCGTCAGAGAAGACTAGTTTTTCCAGTTTTTGCTTTTCTGTGTCGTCCGTCACACCCATCTTCCTCACTCTACCCCAAAACTCGACAAATGCATTCTCTGACAACATGACATCAAAGGCTGCACGTGCATCGGCAAATCTCTGGCGTTGCCATCTCTCAAATTCTTGACGCAGAGCGGGGTATTCAAACCTCTCTGTATCCCTCTCCTCGTCCGTGTCGGATAGGTCTTTATCATGTTTGCTAGTACTCGATCGCCTATCCTTCCGCCGAGATGATCCGAGAGATATCTTTGCGTCGATTCGCATTTGCTTAGCCACACCACTAGAGCCAAGACTATTCTTAGTTGCTGAACTGAGGTCGTCCCAACGAATGTTGAGACCAGGCGCGTAACTCTCGAACAGTGTGGAGAGTGCTGAACTTCCTTTCGACTGAATGTGGGACATATGCTCAGTGAAGATAGCTTGCAAACGTGCCTGAGTCATGGCTGTCGCTTGAGTAACAGCAGAGAATCGTGGGTCGGCGGAGAGATAGGACAGGGCTGATTGGAATGAAACATTCGGGTCGCGTACATTGTCGATAAGAAGACCCTGGGGAAGGAGAAGGGGGTGGAGGTAGAGCCGACCTACAGTC